AGAGAGAGGTGTTAATAACCAGATTGCATTACAGTGGACACAGTCAGTCAGTGCTCGTGATAGAATCTGTGCAATAGTCCTAATTCTAACAGACAAATGACACATAAGCAAAGCCATCAGGATTTTAAGCACTTCAGGCATTGTASACTCAGGAGGATGAAAGTAAAGACTTGGCACTGTGAAGCTAACACATGCAGAATGTGATTAGTCTTTCCTGTATCATTTACTAAACATGCTAATTAATCTGAAGGGCCTCACACAAGCATCAAAGACACAGACTAACTGATATGGAAAGCAGTCCATTTACTCCTCTATTATAACTAAACAGGTGCAGAAATAAAAAGAAAAAAAAATCCACTTCTCATTAGCTCAGACACTCTTTTCCAATCCTGAATGCTAAATCTCAGTAAGTCTTGACACTTGAGAGACGCAGTATGTGGAAATGGACTCATGTCTGAAGGAAATTACAGTATAAAAAAAAAATTCCCCTGGTCTACAACGACTCGTTTTGTGACTTCAAAAATTCCACAGTGAGCTCAAAAAGGCRTTTCAAGCCAAAAACACTGGCAGGATMAAGATGTCTCCTTTTAGGCAGCAGCCTGCACTTAGACTTCCAAAATCATCTTTCATGCCAAAGACTTTGCTGATGACCATCTCATCAATAATAGCTGAATAGATAAAATAYAGTCCCCACGTCCAACTCAAAGAACAGTATACAATAATCTGAAAGAGCTTGATGTATGAGAACCCTTAAAGGRAGGTTTAACTCTCTTCCTGTGCACACAGTTTGTATCAACAATTTAAAAATACAAATAAGACAGTCAGATCTATTTAACWATGTAAGAAAACATGACTGACAGTAGATTGAACAGTGATTTGTGATATACAGGCTGGTAGCACTTTACCTATGTCTTCAGGACAAAAGAGGCTGCAGAGGTGATTGAAGGGATCCATCCAAGAATATAAAGGAGYATAGAAAGTTATTGTTGCACCAACTACACAAGGGTTCAGAAGTGACCAAGTACTCTGCAGCCTTAGACAGTCTACATTTAGTTTATATGATACTATTTATATGATCCTACACTCCTTTGAACAACATATACCATGTGACCTTCACTGAAAGGGTTATCAGACAGGAACCAGAACTGTCTGCCCARTTCAAGAAAATGGAAAAGGCTGTCCAGGCAAGTGGTGGAATCACCACCATTCCTAGAAGTGTTCAAAAAATGTGTGAATGTGGCACTTCGGRCCATAGTTTGGTGGTGAACATGGTAGTGTTAGGTTAACAGCTGGACTCARTCTTAGAGGTTTAACAATTCTGTGATTTATGCTATACTCCTACTTCACATGAGCATGAAGAGAATGAATCTGTTACCAATAAGACTTCTGGAGATTTTCCACCCCCTCTTTATTTCATGGGTTGCATTTGACCCAAAACAACAAAGTCTAAGCTTCCCAATTTCCTGAAATCTGGCAGCTTTCTTCTTCCACTTCTCATTACCTTTGCTCAGCAAGAGATTTTTGAGAACATCAGCAAGGAGCTCTGCTTTGCCCCCGGCTATTAACACACAGTTCTTGTAAGTAATGTAAAAGCACTGCAGGGAATTACAAAACAATTCCTTCAGYTGTGTTTCCAGCTACAAGAACAGCTGCAGTGTTTCAGGCAACAATCCATCCAGCACAGTGACTTTTTTTACATAGGTAGATGCCKAAAAATGAGTAAGAAAGAGAGTAAATGCTTATCCTATTACACTCACAGGCTCCAATTATTTTATGCTGAGAGGATTCCTTTAATCTGATATACTTTAAACCCATCATGTCGTCTTTGTTCCACATACCTTTCTCAGTCTCCCACTGAGTCCACAGAAACTTCTCAAGTACACAGTGACAACAGTGTTAAGGGAAACACCAACTTGCTCTGCTCTGAGCATGGCTGAACACAGCCCCAGCCTTAGCAGCAGGTGCTCACAATAAAAGGGCATTTCCCATCACGTAACCTGTCACTGCAAGGCAGAAAAGAACACTTCCCACTGAAACAGCCAAACCCTGGCAACTCTACCTGCCAGGGGTGGATTCCCACTCCCAGCAGAATCTTCAGACAATCCACMTCTCAAGCTGCAAAGAGCTCTTCTGTAGTTGTTCTTCCTGACAAGCTGTGTCACAGAAATCACAAAAGGCTCCTGTCAATACAGACCTCTCACCAAGTCTCAGGGATTCATTTTAGAAGTTGTAAGAATTTAAGGAGGTAAGGATTTAAGGAGTTGTAAGAATTTAAGACCACAGTTTTGTCTTCTGACATCATGAGCTACCCCTCCTCTGAAACCACAAAATACTTTGCTGAAATTAAAAAGGTTTAAAGCAGATGCTTGGTGTAAGAGATTACAGCACACCCTGTTAACATTTTGGAAAGTAATACACAATTTTAAAACAAGAACCAATTATTTAAAGTGCCAGATACAATTAAATATAAATGCCATGGCTTGTATAAGCTATAAAGCACTGAGAAAGTACCACTTTCCAAACTGTTCAATTTGCTGAAGGAAGCAAACTCAGCAGTAAGAAGTGAACCAATTACATTGCCTAGAATTAGAGATGAATAATTTTATGACAGCTACTATTGGCACTGAGATATAAACTTCAYTGCCTGCAGAGACTGAGTTCAAGAGAACCAACTCATGAAATGAAAGACAAGATTAAATTGGCAACAAGTGTGCTTTAAAGGGGAATTTCTGTATTTTAAAAAGGTAAGTTCTGAAAACTCTTCTTTTCCCCCACACAAGAATTTTTTGCACATTCCAAGAAAGTCATTGGACTAATCTAGCTAGGTTGGTTTTGAAACAGCGGAGAGGGCATGGTAATGTAATTTTACTTCACTACTACTTTAACACYATTTAGTCAGTTCTGGCCTATCATGTGCAAAAATATATTTGTATTTGCAAATACACTACAAAACTGGCAGAGAGTATTTACACACAGACCTTATGATAGTCCACAGCATAGTTTCTGAAAATTAAGCAGGAACACATTATGGTATGTTCACAGCCAGTGCAGGTACAAAGCAGTGCCTCCAGATCCACAGACCCCCTGCAGCCAAGGCTTTTACTTGTTTAAAAACAGAATAAAGAAATCAAGAAGCATCAAGCTTGGATAGAACTGAATCCTCCTGCTAATACTAATTTTGACAGACAGACAAGTAGATGGRAAAAGGCATAACTGCAATACAGTTTATGCTAAGTGCTGCTTTGATCTYACTGAGGCTGTTTGTATGAGCACGTGCACAGCTGTTTATTCAACCTGTGCAAATAATCAGGCTTAAAGCACTTCCCTGYACTTCTGCTGAAGCACTGCTCAGAGGCACTGTAGCAAACTAAAGCACTCACCAAAAGCAAAAGGAAGGAATCACCAACAAAATAAATGCAGGTTAACTGCATCAAATTTCAGTAGCACTATTCTAAGTGTACCATAATTGAATGCAATGAATTCAACTTTAGAGATTGCTCTGGTAGAAAGAAAGAATACTTTCAAATTTTATGTGCAGCAAATTATGCACTGTGCCATTCACATTTYGAAAGGATTTTTACATGGTCAGAATTTAAAACACAACAAAACACTTTGTSCTGTGCCTTTCAGAGGCACAAAACAGCTCAGCCTAGAAAAAGGAACTGCAAACAACATAGTACTTATCACATCCAACTTAACATCATGGTGCCTCATGCATCTAATAACTAGAACACATAATACTTAGCTATACAGAGCAGTCAGTAYATTCCTGCATGAAATCAGAGCTTTCTAGATCTAATATCTGACCTGGCATATCAGAAAAACATGTTTAGAAGCATACAAAGACATGAGGAAAATTTTACTCCTGTTAACAGCTTTTACATAAAAAAGCCCCACACTGTGCAGGATCACTACACAAAATATTAGATGTTACCTGACAGCCTAAGTTGCTCCAGCTTTGTATTTAAGATGAAAATCACTTCTACCAGTAGCACACRTTACCATTCAAGTTCTCTTTAAAGACAAATATTTTGTTTAATTTTTGCATAGGAGAAAAATAATTTTCTGTCCCACCTGAGCCACAGTKTTCCCCTTGTTTCACTAAGCTTCACTGGAGACTTTTGGAACCCCGGAACCTCACTCTTAAGGGGTGAGCCATCCCTTACAAATCAGGCTGTATTGAAAAAAAATTAATTCCTTCCTAATCCTAAACAGYGTTTTTGCTCAGTTTGCAAGAGACTATCCAAGATATTTGCAAAAAAAATAAAATCCAAATCATTTGTATACCACAAATGTATACTATCTTTTGTACCACAGATTCACGACATTACAGATTCGTGACACCTCATGGAATTTATCTTCYGCTGATTTTGTCTCAAAAATTCTTTTTGAAAATAGCTCTGCAGGAAAGCAAACATTAGAACTGTAACTAGACAGCATGGCAGTGTTTTGTAGGATGAAGAATGCTCAACTAAATGAAAATAAGCCACCATCAGCTTGATTGAAATATCCTCTTTCTAAAATCAAGGATACAGCAAGAAAGAATGATCTGGTTAAGGATAACTAGGCTGGCAGCACCAAGGCACAGTTTAGACAACCTTCTTCTTCCACCTAGTGGCAAGAAGCAAAAAGAACAAGGTCTTTGGGAGTGCAAACAGAAGATTTGTTTTCAACTCTAAAAAGATTCACTGAACTATAAGCAGGATTGAGTCACGCACAATTCCGGGTTCTCATGTTTAAGATCACAATAAATATGCAGAAAAGAGTTTTTTTTTCATCCTGTTATCAAAAAAAAGGAGAAAGTTCAGGAAAGACAGAATATACAACTGGCCCCAAATACTCACAAAACACACTTAAAGCTCAGAAACACCCAAGTGAACCAACTGATGGCAGCATGGAGTAGCACAGGCCTTGAAWAAAGTCTATATGAGAAATTCCATTTTCAGGAGCACCCAGCATTGCATTTTGTACTGCAAAGACAATGATTTTACTTTCAATTACTTATTTAGGAAAAGGCATCTATTTTCCTCCAAGTTTATAACTTACACCCCAAGTCAGATCTAAAGCAGTCAGTTTGAAGTAGGAATAAACATGAGATGGATAAAAAAAATTTATTTACTGTCCTTTACATAAAAAGTATCATTCCCCATATGAAAACAACATTTGTGAGAAAAGCAGTACATTCATTTTGAATCCCTGCACACACTTTTTTGACAAACTGTTGAAAATAAAGTCTAAAAGTTTAGTGAAATGCTCTTCTGGTTTTGACTAAATTTTTCAAGGCAGCTTTGAAATGTCACTATCTAGACAATATTTTAACCAACATTTACGGGATTATTCCATATTTCAGACTGATGTTGCTCTTTAGAAAACTGTACATGGACTGATGGTAGAAAAGAAGCCAAACAAATGAATGTACAATACTTAAAATTTTCAACAGATGGCACTATTTTATAGCAAGGAACCTCTATTGTCTAATTGAAAAAGAGCAAAAGCAATTGGATGGCTGAGTGCATCAGAATGCCAAAATCTGCARCAGAAAAAGCCTGATTATCCCCAAATTTGAGAGTATAGTTCTATAAAACTGGAAGTACAAAGAGGGAATCTGAAGCCAAACAGAAACTCCAAACTAACATTCTATCTCAGATATTAACCACACTGAGATGCTCTTCACGAAGGCTGGGATATAAGATGGGATATTCCCATCTTCTTTGCTTCCCAAGGCAGAACTTCCAGCTAGAGCTGAAGTGAAAGGAAGCAAAGAAAATATGATCATCAGACTGTGATTATTACTGCAAACATGCAAGGATATAGTTAGGGGACTGCTTCCCACTTCCTAAATTAATTTATATAGGATTAAGTCAGCAGCCACAATCAAGCAGCAATTGCTATGCTAGACAAAAAAAAAAGGAACATGTCATTTGTAAATCTTGTGAGGGTTTACAGATTAGATGCTACCATCTGAAAACATTCACTATTGTTAAAATGACTCATGCCCATATGTAGAAAATATAGGCACATACACCTGGAGTATTTCCAGCTCTCAGTGGCACACAAAAAAATTCTCAAGACATCTGATCTGAATCCTCAAAGCAATAAGTCTTAAAAGAAACCAGCTTTCGTATGCACACAGCTATAACAAAAGATTTACTAAACATGATTTGTCCCAGAAACTTTACCTGAAATACATAAAACCTTTTGTAAATCTATCCTCTGCACCGAAACACCATTAGAAACTCCACACAGGGTTTTGCAAATTCCCCCTTTAGCATTTGGGATGGGAAAACTTCAGGGACAGGAACGTTCAGGAAAGGGCAGTGTTACACCTCTTGTAGGGCAAGTACTGAGCCTCCAAAATCCATCATAGTTACATTCCTCTCTGTTCCTGAAGGAGGCATTCTTCCTCCTGATTGTAATCAAAAAATTTAGGCACATAAGAATCTCATTCAGCAGCCAAGAAACAAACAAGCAGCAGTGAAAACATAGCAGAAATGCAGCAACTACTGGAAACTAAAAGATTTCAAGCCAGMTATTGGCCTTGTCAGACTTGAGAGCCCTCACAAAAACACAGCTGTAATTTTAGCACATTTTTTCTCCTTCACTGGTAGCAGCAAATTCATCTCCTGCACAGATGAAAAAACTCCATACCCAGATAAATTGAAACACGAACAATTCATACATTTAGAATCAACAGATCCACATCCTTAGCAGTTGATTTTAAGACTGATCAATGATTTGGCTGCCAAGGAAAGCCTTGCTTGTTTGGTATTTCAAACTCTGCTCAGAATGAGGAGGTTGTTTCCATACAGCTTCATCCARCTTCAATACTACAAAAATTTATGCCTCATTCCATTCATTTAGYGAGAGATTTCCATATATCTGATTCAGGCTGCTTCCAGTCTTCGCCCATCAGCTCTTTCAGGTTTAAGTCTCTGAAAAATTCCAGACGATGACTGCAAAGAGAWGAGAAATAAACAAAAAACAATCATAATCTCATAGCTTGTGCCTTAATAAAAGGCAGTATCCTCAGTATGTTTAATTCATCTTTATTTTCAAGTTTTCTTGGACACGAACATAACCATAATTCCCTGTGTTTCTTTTCCAAAACCTCAGTTTACAAATAAAAACCACTACTATGTATCAGATATTATCAACATTATCTACATCTGAAATGTATCTACATACATAAATCATTGAATAATATGAAATTATTTTATTAGGAAGTAAGAGTAAAAACAAACTAAGAGCAATGAGTAGCAAGGAACAGCCTCTTCACATAATTGCATCGGGTACCAACGTCTGAAAATAACAAGGGATTATTTTGAAAGGGGTACTTAAGAAAAAATTCCTTCTTGAAAACTATTCCAGGCATTCTCCAGTCTACCACAGAGAAAAAAAAAATTCTCACGAAACATCAATAATGTATTTTATTAGCAAAAGCTTTAAAATTTTTTAAATGAAGTTCAGAAGCCAAGTTTTTCTTAARTAAAGGTGATAAAGGGTAATTTATCTAAAATTTACCCTACTTGACCATCACTGTATGTTGTATGACCAGTCTGTATAAGAACTATAGTGTGTCCTTAGAGCTGGTGCATTAATATAAAACACCCAGAAGTAACACGCTTTATCAGATCATCTCAGCCTCAAGGCCAAAGAAAATAAACAGGCCCAAAGCATAATTTAAAYATCCAAATTCTCTGGGTTTTTTTCTATTGATATTGGCTATCCTTCAATGATACTTTTTCAGTTCAGTCTCTCTTTTCAATTTTTTCCACAGCATAGAACAACCTGTAGAGGTGAAAGCTTTTAGAACAGTAGGGGAGAAGCAAAAGASATTAACTGGAAATGTACCTGGTGAAACTATTACTAAATGGCACTTCAGGAGGTGCTGAAGTCAAGAAAGAAAGGTAAAACCTATCCAGGATTTAGATGAGGAAGGTGATAAAGCAGATACCAATGGCATTGAATGTGTGCTTTTCTATGCACCTAACATGGTAATCAAGCATTAATTACAGCTCTCTGCCACAGTGCTTTATACAAAGTACAGCACCAATACACCCAGAACTAAGTAGTATAATCAAAATACCACTATCAACCCAAAAACCAGATTAGCTTTTTAAGGTATTCCAACCACAGTGCAACCATATTACAGAAGAGGTCATTTCATGCTTACAAATCTGGTTTCTGTCCTTGCTGCAGTTCATGTCGAGGCACAGGATAAAGTGCTTCATATTTTCTCTCTTCTCCCGAGCCATGAATTGCAAATGCATTGAACTTGTCAGTGCATGGTGGGAAATAACTCCAAGGAAGAAGAGCTTTACCCTCCCATTTGGTTTTCATTCTGGTCACCTCAAACTCTAAAGGAAGTTTTTCCTGTTAAAAGAAAGGGGGAAAAAAAAAGATGTATTGGCCATAATCTGATCAGAAAATAAGTAAATAAAAGTCATTTTGAATGTACTTGACTACTTACTTTCCACACTTTTCTTCTGCCAGAAAGCAGCAGCAGTAAGTACTGCCCATGGCTGTCAAAGAATCAGAGCACAGTTTTCCTAAAATTATGTCAAGTTATTAGTGCTTTATACCTCCACAGATATGTACATTCCCCATATTGAAATAATTTCTGTGTCTAGTCTTCTCCATACATGTATCTCACAAGCATTAGAACTGGAAGTGCAAACTAGCATTTGTGACTTTTTCAGTGCTGTACTTACGGACAAAGCTCAACTTCTAAATACTGCTCAGTTCTGTCACTCAGAAAGAATGCTTCTACAACTGAAAAAAAAAAACAAACCAAAACAAAATACAAAAAAAAATCCACCAAGCTGTCAGTATTTTATAACAATTTTGTAATATCCTGAAATCTTCATATCCCATTAATACAATTCTATTTTCATGATTTTTGGCCTCTGCCATGTCAGAGTTTGACTCRCTACTGACATGTACACAGTAACTATAACCCAACTATTCAAAATGTTGTGCCCTAATTCTAACTCCAGGAGCTTTTTATTTTTAATTCCTATGACCACAAAGAGCTTTATAAAGTACTGCACTAACTATTAGCTTCATCAATTCCAGTTTTTAAAACAATCATCCTGATACCACAGGAAAATAAGGGAAAGAGGATCATAATTCACACCTCATAACTGAAACTGTTAAATCTCAGAAACAGTAAGAAAGCATTTAGCTCTTAAATGGTTTTTTCCTATAGATGGTTATTTTGGACTGAAGATTACTGTTGCAGGTATACCTGAAAGCCACATATTACAGCTGAGTCAGGTTTCAGGAATACAAATTTGAACTACAGTGGTGTTTCTCACATAAAATTACAATGACTGCAATGGTGTTACTCATGTAAAATTACAATGGTGCTTCTCACAGCAATGATGTAATTAGAATCACATGATGACTGCTGTCTTTATTTATTTTTACTTAATATTTATTAAAACAATATAAAAAAGGAGCTAATACTCTTTTAGTAGAGCTTGAATCAGAATAACTCAGTAACCAGGAAGCAAAGAACTGCTGGGAAAATTGAATTCTTACATTATTCAAAGCAATGGGTAAAAGTGGCAGTATGGACAGGAAAGGTGCAAAAAAAAAACAGCATTACCATGAGAATTTTCCCCATTCCATTTGGGTACGATTTTCAATTGCATTTCATGAGGTGTAATTTCTGTGTTTCAAACCTTTCTATTTCTCAAAGGAACTTCGGAAAAAGGATTAAAACACTTTGCTTCTCAAAGCATAAGTAGAATCTCTCTTTAGGATTTCACTTCTCCTTCYGTAAAGGCATTTAAATAGCTAAATGCCACAAAATTATTTTGATATTCTAATATGTCCAGCCTCTTGATAGTTCACAGGTTATATGAGTAACGCAAAAACTAAGTTTGAGTACATATACTATTGACAGGATCAGGAAGTCAGCTTTACTGGATCAGGAACTTCAGCATTACTGAAATCAACCTGAGCTCCAGTTTTGGGTATTTTTGAAAAAAAACAACTATCACAGAGTCTTAAAAAAGACTAAGCATATTAAATACAAAGGAACATCAGTGCCTACAGAAATCAGATATATTTGCAGAAGAGTTACACTTACCCTCGTAGTCCCACAGCCCACCAAAGGGTTTTCCTGGCTCTCCGGGTGGTTCAGGAGGGTCATTAAAGAAAGGAGCACGAACTTCCATCAGCAGCCCTGCCTTGTCCGGCCTCAGCCCRATCGTGACCGGCTCGTGGCTCACAGGCAAACCATCCCACGTGTGTTTAATACTAAATTCCATCTTCACAGACTACACCAATGAAAAAGAAAAGTTCTGTCAAAGAACATCTCAGATTCCGTCTCAGCATGAACAGCATTGTTTGCCCAGGAAAACAAAGAACCCCACTTTGGTATGAAGTCAACAACCAAATCATGGTTTTAGACATCAGAACTGAAATAGGTCAGCGYTGTAAAAAACTAATTAAACTGTTACATAAACGCTGCTTCTCATGTGTTTCTATGCCCGCAGGAYTACAAATGACTGAAATCTTAGCCTACAGCTTTTCAACCACACATCTAAATAAATACCTTTCAAAACCACYAGAAATACTTATCCACAGAACAGATAAACAAAACAGACTTAGAGAATTTGGTAACACCAGAAAAACATACTGATTGAAAAACCTTTGATGCTTGAGACACAAGGAACTAGCTAAAGCTTTCCTCACGGCAAACCAGCCCTTCCTTAAACACCTCCAAGGCCGGTGGCTCCACCACCTCCCTGGGCAGCCCGCTYCAAAGCCTAACCACCCTTTTAAACACAGAAATYCTTCCTAATATCCAACCTGAGCGTCCCCTGATGCGGTTTCAGGTGTGTCTTGTTGTGTCCTAATCTCCTGCAGCTGGTTCCCCTGAGAAGGGGCCGAGCCCCGCCCGGCCACAGCCTCCAACGGGCAGCAGCTCCCACAGCGCTCCGCACCGCTTTCTCCTTCCCTTCCCCGCGCTGCTAGTCCAGCCACACACTGATTTTTTATTTTTTTTTTTTTCTCCTGAAGGGAAGTTCAAACACATCAGCGCCTGTGCCTAATCCCGTAAAACCCTCCAAGAAAAGTTRACGGAGGGATTTCCTCCTGCCGCCCCCTCAGCGCCGCGCCATGTCTGCTCGCCACGTGACGGCGGGCCCGGCGCTGAGGGCGGGCGGCATCCACCGGCCCCGCCCCGGCTCTCGGCGGTTGTGGGGCTGYTCTGCGGGGCCTCGGCGGTGCCCGTGCCTCCGGTAGCACCGGGGCTGCCTCCTTCCCGAGGGCTGAGGGGAGGGAGCAGAGGGGCGGCTCTCCCCGCAGCCCCCGCCCCAGCGCACCGGCGGCTGAGGGGAGCGCGTCCCGCCCCGGCGCCTGCGAGCCGCCTCAGCCGCTCCTCCGGAACGGGGCTCGCCTTTGCTCTCCTCGCCAGCGGCCGGATAATCCGCTTATCCCCGGGGGTTCCTGGAGTTTTCYGAGGGCGTCTCTGAGAACGCGGCACAGCCAGGTGAGTGTTGGTGGTGAAGGTTTATGTTCCGTGGCAGCGAAGGTTTGTGTTCTCCGTCGCTTTCGCGGTGTTGGCTGCAGTGAGYAGCAGCGTGGATAGTAGTTTTAGTYAGCTAAACGCTAATAATGAAAAGCTGCTAATGAGGGGGATGGCCAAAAGCACATGCGTTTTTGTATGAATGYCTCTTTCGTTATGAAACCACGGCGTTTCCTAGGCTTTGCTTACCCTTGGAAACTCTCTTGCCAGTTGCTCGTGAAATTTTCTTTACAGGCTAAAACCAATATTTTTAATTATGTGTTATTTGACACAATTATGGTTTTAATCCGACTTACTCAGAGTACAACTCAGTTATTTACCAACAAAATAGAAAACTGCCGAAGAAAATTGCTCCTGCAAAGTTTATATTGCTGTAAGCAGGAGATGGAGTGGATGCGTTGTCCCAAGGATTGTCACTGTCCCCAGTTAGTGCTGCAGGAAAACYTGGCAGCACAGCAGCCACACACACCAGGGCACGGTGCATGCCGTGTTAGCAGTTGTACTTCGGTGAAATCTCCAAATTTTGGTGATTAACAAGTTTCGTGTGATGGCTTTGGGTGGCCAAAGGTGAAAGACCAGCTTTTGACTCCAAGGATTTCAGTAACAGAAAAACTTACGTCTGAGAGAATAGGATCATTCTGGCAGGGGGATTTATTATGCTGAGATATGAACAAATTATGTTGTTTTGTTTTTTTTCTTTTCAAATATTGGAATATTGCGTTTTTATATGTATTTATTTTGGCCGTAGCTTGTTTTTAAAATCTTTAGACTTCATCCTTTGGCTGGTAAGGGCAGTAACTTTCCCCATCCTGTTCCCTGGCATTCCTTTGCTGTTACCTCCTTTCTGTCCCCACTGTSTTTTTCCTATATGCTGCTTTAAAAGTTTAGAACTAGACAAAGAACCGTGGAATGTATATAAAAAATTAGTCAAGGAGTTGTTTAAATCAGAATATAGCCATTGCCTTCCCAACGTCCTTTTTTTTTCTTCTTTACCCATTTACAAAAGTGTTACTCAGATCCTTGCAAAACAGAACAAAAATATTTCTTAAAGAAAACAGAATATGAAAGGAATGGAATTCATTATAATCACTATTATAATTCTCGTAGGCCTTTTCAAGTCCTAGGTTCTTTTAAACAGTTGTGCTAAACAGAAGAGTTTTAGAAGCTTTTTTTTTTTGCCCTCAAAGCGCTATATTGTTAAACATATTTCTGACTGCCAGTGACATTTATGTAACTGAGGACCTGTGTTGTAGCCGTGATTCTCAAACTTGGTGTTTTTCAGATAAGAGGCTAAAAATGGCCCTTGGACATGATGAAACCGATGCGATTCTGAGAGTCACTGCTGAGCAGGTTTGTGAACTCAGGGATGGAAGTAGTAGGAACTTTTTTTACGAGGTTTTGTGATAAAYAGCTTTGCAAATATAGAACACAGACCGTTTCAGTGTTGTCTGGCCCTGTTTTCAGTCCGTCATAGAAGACAACAGCAGAACAAAACTGCCCTAACGGTGAATAGTGGCATTTTTGCTACGTTTTTAAACATTTTATCCCTGAAAGAGCACTTGGTTTGTAATTCAGTATGACTTTTCACTTTTGTAGACTTTCCTTTCCTAAGGGACTGGTCTCATGTTGAGGTAATTTTTTGTGCTGGGTACCGTAAGCCTGTCTGGAAGCTTGTGCAGAAGTAGGGCTTCAGCACTTTGCTGATGCTGAGATGCATGGAAATGAACCAAGCACTTACACAAACCTATGATTGTTCTTTTAAGATCAAGATTATTTTCCCTCAGATGTAATAATGCTTTAGATCAGAGCATCTCCAGGAAAAAAATCATTTTTTCGTGTTGGGCCAGCACTTGAGGGTTTTTGAGCATAAGCCTGAAAGGCATTCTGTAGCAAGTTCTGTACAGATCACAGTACAATTTTGGGTTTCATATAAATGTTTAAAACTACACACAGTTACGTGCAAGTGCTAATAAGCAAATTATTCCATTACAGGAACACACCCCTGCTGGTAAGGCCCCATCAGGATCCAGRATGATGGACCAAAGGTAACTGATTCCAAAGGATAAGTGGGAATACTACAGTGTATTTGAAGGAAATTGTCATGTGCTCATAGAAGTGTAAATATACAGGTTTTATGTATACGTGTAGAGGTGTTGCTGTAAAGGTTGTTTTTAGGTGGTATTGTGTTTATTCTGTAAATTGAATTACTGATTTTGCCTCCACAATCTGTAAAATAAAATGTGAGAGATGAATGAAGGAATTCTCTAGTCTAAAATTTAAGATAATAAACAAAAGTCCTGGTAAGATTGGACTGATYTAGGTAGCACAGGTGACTGCTGTCTCTTGAGATCAGGTGGATATTTTTAAAAATGTACATTTGACAATTTTAAACTAACAGTTGCCTGTCAGGAAATGGTWTCACGATCACTGTAATTTCCTCTTAYAAAAATAACCTAGCTTTTCTTGTTRGCTTTTAATATAGAATTTTCAGAGAATTTATATCAATTCTTAAAATATTAGGAAAGAAAAATATAGAAATACAGTGTTTTACATTTTCTTATAGGCCACTTCACTACTGTATGTGAAAGTGGCAATGAAGTCTAGTCTTTTAATATTTGGGATTCTGTGTGAGTCTATGAAGTATCAATATTGTATTCATGATCATTTATAATATCCTATTATATGTTCTATTTCTGTTATGCAGGACTTCTGCTGTTAATGATCATTATTGGAAAGTAGTAATTAAATTTGTTCATTTGCTTCTGGAAATGTTGAGCTTGGAACTGAAGCAAAGTGACTGTTTTGTTCTAATCTCTAGATTAGGAATTCTTTAAAACTAGTTACTTACCAGAGCATTTCAGCATTTACAAAACTCATTCTAAGCATGTTTTTCACGTTTTCAGAGTGTCAACTCTAATCACAGAGTATGAGAAACATGTGGAGGAAATGAAAGACCAGCTGCAGTTTTATCAGGTAGGGACATTCCTGGCATTTCAGACTGTATCTTGTCAGTGGTCTGAATATGTAGGCCACTGGTTTTTGTGTGGCTTCACAAAGCTGCTGGACTGCAGGCTGCCTCAATGGGATGAACAGAGAACTTTCTGTGGAAAGGTTGGGAGATTGTCCCAATTGCAACAGTGTAACCATGGGGGTCAAGCTGGATGGGAGCTGTCCTCTCCACCACCCTAAATGAAACTTTTTCATGCTCCATAATATGACTGAAAACTGAAGTGGTGTTAAAACCTGTGGCATAGAGAAAGCAGTTTTTACTTGTGATCTGCATACAGAAGTTAGACATTGGTTTTGGTTTGATGCACTTATTTTTGAGCTATCCATCATAACGATTTTGCAAATTGCCTTCCAGCTTGATGAGTTTAGAAGGCAACGGAAGTACTGTGGCTTTCTTGCATTAGTAAACAAAGCTGCCAGTTTGATTCAGAAAATTGGAGTTTCTCCTCTGTTAATTCCTAAACTTTTCTCAAATGCTTGGAGGATAAAAGATGAGTTATGYACTCTGCCCCTAAAAGAACTTGAGTTAATTAAAAATCAATCTGTAAGAGCCATAAAAATTTCAAAAGGTTAAGTTTAATGCCCGTAATAATTTCTGAATGCTGAGGTGTAACAGGACTTGGCAGCTGTTAAATTTAAGTGGCATCCTGTGACTTGCCTTAAAAAAGCAATTGACTTTCATTTATTGCATTATGCTGAATTAAACGTTCCATCTTTTACAGTGTCAGTCAGAAATAGAGAATGAAAGTATTAGCAGAGTTTGTGTGATTTAAATGAGTGCTTACTCTTGCATTTGTCTCAGGCACAAATGAGTGAGATGAAGCTAAAATTGGAAGAAGTCATWAAGGAAAATGAAAGGTAAATAATTGCACTGCCCTGCTGTGTTACTACTATTGTTTCTCATGTTTTCTAAACATTAAAAAGTTTTTTTTCTAGGACCTTGAAATCTTTGAAATCTTCAACTACTAAGTAAATCCAGGATCTTAACATTAAAAGTTTTTAAATGATTAATACAGATTACATCACCAGGTATAGGAGATTTTACCATGTCACTAAAAGGACTAGGTGTCGAACTATTCTGAACTGTCCACTGTGTTTATAGAACATAATTTAATAAATTTATATTTGACTTAGAAGGAATTARTATGTACAGGTGGGAGGTACAGTATATTTCAGTTATTAAAAATCCCTTTTAAAGAAATACTTTGCTGAACTTAGTTCTTTGAATTTCAGGCTGCATGCAGAGTTAAAAGAGCCTCTTGAGAAGCAACTGGAGGCTCTTCCTTTCATGCATCTGGAAACTGATATTCCTGCAGATGACAGCATAGTGAGAACACTCCAAGAGCAACTACGGCTGGCAAAGCAAGTGTGTGAGATTAAGCATTTATATTGTTTTATTTCTCTTGTTGTGCCTTGGCACTATAAGGGAAGCTGTTTTATTTCTTGATTCAGAAATKATTTGTTCAGAGTTCATTGAGACTGTTTTGAGGCCTTCTTGAACTTAAAGACCCAAAGAAACTTCTTTCCTTGATACATATAATAATTTTTTTAATACTAATTTTTGGTAGTAATTTTACTGAGTTGACTTGATCCTTATGTTGAATTCACAATCAGCAACTTAATGAAATATTTCATTCAAGGCTTTTGTAGTAGCTTGTAGTTTTAATCAAAACTATTATAATGTGATATGAGGAGGGAAGTATRTGTGGGATACAGCAAATAATACCTAAATAAAAAAAAACCAAGCAAATTTTATCCAGCTTATTACAATATATCAGTCTTGTTCTGTATGATTAAGTTAATTTGWCAGCTGAATYTTGATATTTAAATATCAAAATAAATACCTGTAAATAAATAATAAATATCTGTACTGTAGGCCTACCTTAAAGACCTGTAAAAGTTTGAGCTCTTCAAGAAAAAAAAGGCAGAAAACTGGAAGTGGAATTTGAACTTCCAAGCATCCATTTTTCTGCACTTGAATTTAAATTTAAAAAAAAAAAGTGCAGAGAAAAGTATAGGTAATGGCATTTCTTCAGAACAGAATTTAAGACCTGTCTTTTTAGAGAAGGATAGATGAAGATAAATGTGTTCTAACAGAWTATTGTTCTGTACCTTAGGAAAAAGACCAAGCAGTGGAGCTCTGGCAGACGTTGTTRCAGGAGCACGATCGCCTTCAGCAGCAGTACCAGGAGCGCCTGACTGAATCACAGATTCAYGTGGCTGAGAAGAAAAGGCAGAATGTAATTTTTACTTATTTTTGTTATTTTTTTATATATATAAATATATATATACACACATGCACAAAATAAGCATCTGCATATAAATAATCCTGTGTTTTGAATTGTACGGTTCAAAATCTTTGGCACAGAAAAACATCTGAAAAAGTTACTTAAGATTTCTGAGTTCTGAGGTGAAAGTCTTTCATGTGTTCTCCTGTGTTGAAGAAAAATAGTCTCCATTTCCTGCTGTTATTCAGTAAAGAAGCATAAGTAAAAGATTAAAAATCAAGTTCTCTAGTATTTGTCTAATGCTGGCTTGTGTTTAGCAGCTGTTTCTCTTCTGCTGTGTCTGGGGAATGCCTTTCAGGAAATCTCAGAAAAGCTGTTCTGCTCTGATGAGCTGTGTAAAGATGCTCAGTGTTTGAAGAACTAATAGAAACTTGATGCTTGAATGTACCTTGTTGACTGCATTTTCAGGCCTGTAAAGAGAACCTACAAATTCTTTTAATATTTCCTCTCTATTTTTAAATACATTTCACCTATGGGCATGGTTACAGTTCACCTCAAATATTTTTTTACTGATTTTGGGATTTTTGTGGTGTTAAGTTCACCTTGGCAATGTGATCTTCCCTGAGAAACCAGGTAAGTGTCTGTGCAGCTGTTGTACTCTGTCAAGTTTAATGATTATTGCAAAGAAAATTATCTTCTCTTTGTGTAGTTCCAGCTCTCTGCTCCTGCTTCTTCTATTAGRTTGTTTCTTGTGTTGTATTGTCAGGTACTAATAATATGCACAGCAGAGTGCAGAGAGTCATTGGTGGCTGTTGGAGGGTTTAGGGCTGCCAGATTCCATTTTTCATTAGTAACTACATTTTTGGTGGGTTTTAATGCCATTGTGACAAGAAGGAGGTCAAACAGCTCTTTATTTATAGGTACTACTGGTTTCCTAGAGAAAACAGCTCTGCAGTTAAATAAACTTTTGATTTTAGGTTTAGTTTTAATGAAGGAGCAGCAAATACCTGTCAAGAGGTAAACAGAAGGAGGTAAGATCAAGGAGAATGAGAACTGACAGAAAGCAATCTAACTGAAATCTATAAAGACACATGGAATTTCCTGCTGCATGTGTAATTTTTTCGAAAACGTTTTCAGTGCACTATGAAGCTTTCTAATTATGCACTCTTTATGATTGTAATAAGAAACTCTGAATTTTCTTCTTAGGATCAACTGACTAGCATTCATCAGTTGAATCGGCAGCTGCACATAGCCAAGGAGCAAATAGAGTTGGTGAGTAAAACCTTCTGAACAGTGAGCTAGTAATTGATTTATTTTCCTACTAACTCCTCTGGCAACCAGAAAGTAGTGATGGCTTTATTCCTGAACTCCAAACACCAGGCCAAGGTAGTTGAAAGGTCTGCTTTTAGTTTTATGTGGGCCCTTTCTTCTGCAATTTGGTGGTAAGTGTACACTCAAAATAGTAATATTTAAGATAAAGATAATCCATTTGTTTGCATCCGAAAAACATTTGGCACCATCTGTTACCAAAGGCATAAAGATGTAATGGGATAAAGCATCAAGCCCTTGTTTGAACTAACAAACTGAAAATTAGGAAGTGAAGAGACATGTTAATTAGTAATGTGTTTTATTTTGGTAAAACAGCTGTGTTTCCTAGATGTGCTCAGGTTGGAATTGTTCACCATATTTATGCACATTCTGSAAATGAGATTCAGTATTGAGGCAACAGCGTTCACTGCTGATATTAAAATATGTAGGGTAGTAAAAACTGAAGTAATTTTGAAATTTGCAGGAAGATCTCMTTGATTATCTGAGTTCATTTTATCTGACATTTCAGTGATATTTATAAAACCAAAATAATAAATGTGGGTAAGATRGGGTTTTTACTTTGGTTATTCTGTGGTGGTCTTGAAATTAACTGTTACCACTCAGAATAGGCATTTTAGAAGTAGGAAGTGCTTGAAMACAATTCTTAGCAACAGTCAAAAAAGCAATAAGAACATAGCAATTAATAGAAGAGAGGGGGGAAAAGGAGAATATTGTGCATTTTGAATGCTGCCTGCCACTGTGGTCATCTTTAATATCTCAGTGTAAGGCATATGCAAACTTYAGAAAAAGCTAGTTTTATAAAATATTAAATGGCTCTTATATGGGAAGATGATTGAAGGAGAATTACAYGTCCATTGCTTGCCTGGGGAARAAGGARGGATGAACAGTTGCTCATTATTCCYTGTCCCTAAAACACAGGAGTTCTTTGCAGCAGTGTGTGGTCTGCTGTGGTACTCAGTGTCACAAGGGATTACAGGCACCTAAAATAGATGAATGAGAGTGTAAATGACAGKTCTGAGCTGCTACAGTTTTTGTCTCATTAAGTTCTTACATTACCAGAGTATGGGGAAAGAAGGTGAGGAACAGCSCTCTGCTTTCACCTTTCTAAAACACTCTCCATAAACCCTACCACTTGAAGACCAGCTACACTGTGAAATAGACCTTACTGGCTCTTTTCATGATATTATATTCTGTCGAAATATCCTATAACATTTTCAATACTATTATGAACTTGTTACAAATATCTCTTCATTCCACAGACCAATCAGCAGTTTCTGCAAACTGTGACAGAGCAGAATGTGGAACTAGAAGAGCTACGAAAAAAACTGAGGTATAAACCAGCCAGTTTTGAAAAAATGTTTTATATCTTTTCTATAGTTTTTCCTAACCTGCTGCTGTATCATGGGCCTTTTTCATTCAATAGTGGATTTATGGACTGAGTGAAAAAATAAATTCAGTCATTATCCCTCTTGAATTACAGGCAGTGATTATGCTCACTTTCCTCTCAGGTCAGCCTAAACTCCTTGAACCCCTAAAAACAGTGTTGCTTTTGATTCCCAAAGTTAATAGAAGCACCTCTAGGTAGCCATAAGGTAAGTGCTGCAGTGGTTCTCCAAGAAGTCTGGAATATTTTCACCAATTTCTTCTATAACATGAAGCTGTAGTCTGCGTGGATTATAGAGCAAACAGTGCAGACATTTCTAATCTTTTGAGGTGTTTTTAATAGTTTTACATGATTTATGGCAATAGAGTACTAAGTTAGGAATGCAAAAGCAGATTTAAAGAAAAAACCAAACAACATGTGTGTTAGAGAATTTAGGTTTAAATTAGGTTTGTATGGCCTGGATAAAACACACAAACTAAGAAACTTGGCATTTTTAAGGCATGGATCTGCATTTCAGAATCTTAAACCTCCTAAACAGAGGTAACTTGTCAAGAGTAGGCTAAAGATATACTGTACATTATAAAATAAATGCATCTTTAGAATCAATTTGTGGTCTGTAAAATGCATACCTCTGAATTCAATCTGAATCTGGTTGTTAAAATGCATTTCTAATACTTAAGGTGTTCTGATTTTTATGACCTTTTTATGTTTTTCTTTTTTTTTCCCCTTCTTATGCTGCCTTTTGAATTTTTCCTTTGTTTTACAACACTTCTAAAATGTTTGGCAGGAAGCAGTTTAGTGTCCTCCTGGATTTAACAGTACCTCTTGTAGGAGAAAAATGCAATGGTACAGATGGAGTAAGGTCAAAGTTTTTGATCTGCAGTGAAGACTGCATGTTTAGGAATAATGTTTTTATTGTAGTTTTTGCATGTTAAAGAAATGGAACCAAATAAACTTTTCCAGTTAATTGGGTTGAAATAAATTATTTGTTGTAAAACTGATTGGATTAAGTATATTTTGCTTAAGATTTTCATGTAGGTACAGCATGCTTGACTTATGCCCTTAATTCAAAATCAGTATTTCTGTAAGAAATATTTCCTTGAAGTTGATTTGTAGAGGAAGTTAAATTTTTTTATAGCTTCTTTCATGCCTATCGGTGCTCCAGTTTGCATGAGCTAATCTGATACATGTTTGCTCTCTTTTAACTTTTCCATACAGTCAGTCATTGGTTTTTAAATTTAGCCTGATATGCAGCCTCAATAATTGGGTTGCACCCCAGGTGAAGGCTCTCTGTTTCTTTCTGTTCCCACGTCAGAGGAGCAGGAGGGTTGCTTATTTCAACAGACTTTCCTACTGAGGATGAAGAGCCACTAGTCATTAACATGATTCACTAACTAGTCCTTGGTTTTTTTCCCTCTTCCTCAAAATCTATTCAGATTACAAAGCACATTAGCTAAATTCTTTAGAAGCATACAATGATTTTAAAATTCCTAGTTCTATTGCTTTAAAAAGTAAAATCTAATTCTGCTAAAGACTTCCCTATTAAGTATCCGTGACTAATTAAATTATAGAATCACATAAAGTTTTTGATTGCCTAGTCCTCCTCCTTTGATCAATGCATACAGCTTGCTCATAATCTGTCTTTAAGAAGTCATTTCCACAGGAGTTTGGAATTTAGTATTCCTCTCTYTCTGTGCCACACAGTGAGAAGGAGAAGGGGGAAACCTCTCCTGCCTTGTAAGAACAGTATTGTGAAATTTGTTTGCTCTTCACAGCTATTTCAACAAGGTTGTAATAAATTTGGAGCTTTCTTTTCTCCTCTATAATAATTGTATTCTTTATATACAGGCAAGCCAAAATAGATCGGCAGGCAGCAAATGCTAAACTTGAAGAAATGATGAAATTGAAAGAGAGACTTCAGAGCCAAGTGGAGAGAAAGGTATTCTAGAGAAAATGATAATTTCTGTTGCAATTGAATGGATGTCATTTTCTGAATGCTGATGTTAAATTAATGCAAGTTGTTACCTAGCTTGTTTTATGGGAGTGTATCTTTATTTTGTTCTGGGAAGCTCAGATCATGTCTGGATAATTCTTTTACTCTTTCCAGGAAGAAGACAGGATATCTGCTCAGGAGAGAGAAACAGCATCTGACAAACGCTTGCAGCAAATGCAGTCCAGTATAAAACAATTAGAGATAAGGTAAAGAGAGCTTATTGAGTGCTACCAACAAACAGGATACGTGCAAAAATTATTCCTTGGTTCTACAAAAACAGGGTGGTTKTCTGTCTTTGTATGCTTTATGACAAACATGTTAAGAAGTAACAAAGAGATTTTTTTGATGATCCCTCTGAGGCTCTCTTGTCCTTTCTCATGCCTGCCAATACTGACAATCATAGTTAACAATAAGAATTCCTGAGCTGTTGTAAAATTACCAGTGGTTTTCTTCCTCTGCTACTACATCTGCAACCTCATTGCCCGCATCCAATTATTCCATTTCCTCCACAGAGGAAAACTTTATTTCTTCTGGGGCTGTTCTGTACTGGTTTAATATAGAACATTTTCAGTGATGTATCCCAGGACATCACTGGGATTCTTCTAAGGATCTTCTGAGATTAGATATCTGAGTTAACTCCTTTAATTCTGTTTCTTGCTAGGACTTGATTAATAGCAAGCTCAAAATACTCTGTCCAAAAACAAGCAGAAAGCAATGCAATTTGGGCAATTTATGAASAGATACTTCCTAATAGCTCAGTTTGAATGGATTAATATCTTCATTAACCATCATGCTGTTAAATTACTACTGTCTTGCAGATTATGTATGACTGCTCAAGAATCTGAACGGCTGAAAGCAGAGAGAGCAGTTCTGGAGGAGCAGATCAGCGAGCTTCAGGCCAAGTCTGCCACTCTAGAAAGTGAGAAGTACGAGGCTGTTGCAAAAGTTCAAGATTGCATACAGCTCTTGGAAGAAGCTACCCTGGAAAAAAATCAGGTAGGTCATTGGATGAAGGAATTTCATAGAAATTGGGATATTTAGGATACACAAGCATCTTTTATCAGACATTTTTTATGTCCATTGTACTGTAATTATTAATACGTAGAGAGCAAACTGGGATGTGACCACACATCACTCAGACTTGTCATACAGGAAAAATTTCAAAGCATATGTTGAGTGCCTGGATAAAGATGATCTAAATGATAATACTCTACCTGAGCATGGATTTTCCAAAATTTTTGACAAGAGTTTAGCATTCCTTACCAAATACTTACAAAGTGGTTGTGTCACAATAAACAGGAAGGTTCTGTTATGAATTGATAACTGTTTCAGAGAAGACAKAGGAAACAAGGTAAGTGCATCAACAAAGAAATCTAGAGATATGGAGAGGCCTTAAAAGAAACTTTTATGCATCATGTATGATTAAACTGTTATAGAATATTTGTGCCAAAAATACAGATACGAAAATATGGCTCAAGGAGAAAACAAAGCAGATCGTTCTTGATTTACTGCTCTGGCTAAAACATCCTGAATTTTTCAAACTGGGAAGAAAAAAAAATAAAAAAATGTTTGGTTAATGAACAGACTAAAAGAAAATGCACATTAATATACATATCTGTTAACACTTTGTGTTTTAAATTGTTTTTTCCCTGCTCTGTAAAAGRTTGAGGTGGAAATTATGATAACATTTCTGTTAACATTATAAAGCACATGAAGCTAAGCTTATAAAAAGACATTCGGAAGAATTTTGAGAGYAGTTTGAGTAATAAAAAACAAAGTTGCATTGTATGGGAGCAGTAAAAGAAAGCATGACCAAGGAAGTGGCATGTTTATTGCCTGGAGTGAGTAACTTTCCACAGGTTACTTTTTCATGTCTTTCTCCCTTCATGCATATGCACATTCTCTGTGTGCCACCTAGGGTGCTTGGTAGGTGAGATCAAAAATCCTGTATTCTGTAATCTTTTCTCCTATTACACTGTAACATCAGAAGCTTTTTTCTATCCCCCAGAGGAAGGGTTCCTTGCTACACTATTCTTCTGTAATCTCTGTAATTCACTGTTACCCCACATGAAATGATCTGCATACCTCTTCCTTAGTTGCTTATAAAAAGTAACATTTACTTTTAGTTTTCTGGGAGATGAGTAATTTTAGTGTAAAATGCTTGGCTATATGTAGGAGTGTGTATAGAGATTTTCAGTTTCCTGTCAGAGACCTTTGCATGCATCATTGTCAGCATTTTTTTTATTACAGATCCTGGCCCCATCTAGAACACTGGAGAGTAGCTTTGCCTTTTGCTCTGGGTTCTTCTGCTTTCTTCTGTGTAATTCAGTGCTCAGCCAAAATATTCAAGTCCCAACAGAAAAAGGCATCTACTGACACCAACTCTTGGTGTGGTTCTGATTTACAAGAATGTGCATTTAGTGCAACATATTTTCACTGTTGTTGTTTTCTTGTTGAGTCTTACTGTCAGCTACTCCAAAGTAAAAAGGAAAAAAAGGTGTCTTTTGAACAGTGACTGTGTGGGGGTTTTTCTCTCAGTGCTCTTTGTGTCACACTGAAATATCAGTCATATTTCAGTTTGTTATTTTTCTTCTAGGCACTCTTTGAGGAGAAACAGAAGGAAGAAGAGATCAAAAAACTGAAGGATGAAATGTCTCAACTTGCAGAAGATACTGCTGCAAGAATAAGAAAGGAAGTAAGTTACCATGTTTGCAAAGAATGGGAAAATGTTTTGGTTTTCCTCAGACTGGAAGACCACAATTTTTGTGATGTCTTCATTTGTGCTATTTTTTCTCTTAAATACCCTCCTTTAAAGAAGTATGGATTTATAATAATCATTCTTCTAACGTTTGAGTCATAAGATTTCTCTGTTATTGCAGTCCCAGATATTTTCMTACTTTATGCACCACATATAGACTACAAATACATACATGTCAAAAAGCAAGGTGGAAAAATAGTCTGTGGGACTAATTTTTTAGTTTTGCTTTGTTTTTGCTTACAGGTAGACGCTGCAAAGAAGCAATGTAACGTGCAGGTTTCTCGACTAACAGAAGAAGTTTCAGCTCTTCAGATGGTACAGTGTTGACTCATAAAAAATATTTTCAGTGTTAAAACATTTGAGACTTCTAGTTTTTGCTRATCAAATACTATTACTAGGTTTTAGTATTTTAGGTCAGCTGTGATTAATGAGACATTTTTTAGGACAATCCTATATTACTGTATAGCAGATTACATCCTACATGTTTCCAGRGATGATTTCACATACAATTTGACAGTGAGATCTGTGCTCTAGAAAATATTTTCCATGTGATGGCATTTCTTAAGTATCCCTGGTTCTTTCAGAGATACACTAAACTCACTCTTCTGTGTTTATCTGTAGTTGTGTGTGCAGAAATGAAGTATATGAAAGCTGATAAAGTATCCTAAGAGAGTCTATGGATGACAGTCATCATATTTTTGAATGACTGTAATAGTAATTACAGGAACTTGTAATAAATTATGCAGCTGACCAACAGAATTTGGTGCTTATGCAGATGTTTATGCATTAAATTTATTTTTTCAATGTTTCATTTTATCTTAGTCTGTGTATTGAATGATCATGATCCTATAGGAAAAATAATGAGCAGGTAAATACAATCGAATGCATCCATAGCAGTAGCAAGAATGATATTTACACTGGGCAGGGGTTTGGCTTTAGCACTTCTTGAATTTTTATTTTGATTTAATAAATCTATTTTAAAATTACTTTTAAAAAAAGGAATGTGGAGAAAAACAGAGCCAACTTGAACGAACCATTAGAGAAAAGAGAGCAGTGGAAGAGGAAATTGAAAAGGTAAGGCATTTGTATGTATTTTTAWATCACATTTAAGATCTCTTTTCAGAAACAAAAGATACATTGATTTCTCCCATTTTTCATGTGTTTTTCCATTAACTTTCTTCCTTTATTTTTTGAGTAGATTTTCTTAATTGTAAACTTTCATATAGTTACTTTAGGGTTGTTTGGTTGTTTGGATTTTTTTTTAATCCAGAAAGTCTTCTGAGGCTTCAACACCAAACTCAAAAGGAAATTTCTGTGAAAAGTGTAAAAATTAAAAGACAGATGTTTAATGTAATCCAAAAGAATGCTGGAGCATATTCGAGTTAAGATCAATAGACAGAAAATTAAAGAAATGCCCAATCAAAACCTTCGAAACTTTTTTTTCTCAAGCAGCAGCAATAGTAGAAATCCAGTTTTAAATCATGGCAAAATAGGATGCAATGAGAAGTAAACTTACATATAAGTTTACTCTTCAGATTTACAGGGAATACAGAGAGCATGAATCTGACAGCAGAAAACTTGAGCAGCTGCATCAGAAGTATTTACTGGCAGAATCTGCCAAAGAAGGCCTTCAGCTGAGTCTACAGATGACACAAAATAAACTGAAGCAACTGAAAATGAAGTAAGTGATGTCACRGATGTTTACAGAAAAAGAGACAGCAATGGAAATAATTTCAGACTATTTAAATTGCTGAATATGTGTTAGGGTTTTGTCAAGTCTTTTTATTAGGTAGCAGACATAGTATAAAGATATCATAATTCTAAAACTAAGATTGATTTTTATCAATTCCATCGTCATTATGAAGTTCTTTGCTCACTTGTGCATAGCTCCCAGACTGTTTTTTTTCCTTTGGTTCAGGAATTGTTCAGTTCCTCTGCAGCAAGACTTTCCTTCTCTTTTAGCTCTGATGAAGAGAAATCTCGTTGCCAGGAAGTGATCAATAAATTGCAAAGTACTCTGGATTCAGAAAGACAAAAGAGCACCTTTGTCAGTGAACAAAGACTAAAACTTCAGCAAGAAAATGAACAATTGGAAAAGGAAATGGAGGGTTTGAGAAAACTGGCAATAGAGGTTCAACAAAAAGCTAAAATAAAGGTATGTTTTATATATTATTGCAATGTAAGACTGATACTTGCTTAATAAAGCAGCAATTCTAAGGCAAAGGCATTAAATGTTTAAATTAAGGTTGAGAGTTTCAGTGATGCTTCCTGGTTGCTGCTTAAAAATAGTTTTATTGTCGCATTGTGCATCCTCAGAATCTATTGGGTAACTCAAACTCTGCTAATTAAATAATCTAATCTAATCTAATATGTATTAGATTCTCCTTGATAGGAAGATCCCAAATGTTCTTTGCTTTAAAGAAGATGAATAGATTATTTAATACTGCAGTTTTCGATCTTCATTTCTTTATTGTCTCTAATGTGTTAGAAATCTTTGTCTGACTTTCTGCCCAGAGTGTTCCTCTACTTGTGTGTCCACCACACTGTCAGGGCAGTGTGTAACTGATAAATAATTTAATAGTGTGGCTGTCAAACTTTGGCTCTGTATTTTCTGGACAGAGAAGATTCTTCTCTGTGCTTAGCTGCAACAGGATTACTGGCTGAGAGCTGGTTTGTCCCTTTTGAACATGTTCATTAAATGCCCCTGAGCAGACTGCAGGTGGGATGAGGAATCAGTAGTAACCTCAGCAGATTCATGGTACCTGTGGCTTCTTCAGGGAGGAACAGCTTTGATCCTTCATGTGCTTCCTGAACATACAAAACTGGTACATTCCCCTCTGCAGTGTAAAGATCCTAAAAAAGAGATCTGAGAATCTGGAGCAATGAAGACAACCTCAGTAAGCAGTTTGACAAGTTATGAATGGGAGCCATCTCAAATCTGGTTTCCACTTTGCACTACAAGATAAAGAAAGCTGTCAAATTTAACAGGAGATCTTGTCCAACTCCAGAACTCYTTGCTTAAACAAAGGATCAGAATCTTGTAACAGATAGGCAGCGGATATAAAGTGCATAAAACATATACTAAATCTTTGTCTGTCTCATTTTTAATCAGACAGGCTTCYATTACAGTCACAGATAAGATTCACTGCTTGCTTTCATTTCCCTCTGATGTACAAAGGATTGCAGATGCAGTTAAGAAACTCCTAGCACATTTAGCTAGATGAAAAAGAGCAAACGTGTTCCTGGGGAGAAAACAYGAGGGAGAAGAATAAAGATTACTTACAAAAATAAGCATCCACAGCTCATTATCCTTTATTGTCAGTTGTACTATTTGCTTAAATTGGCTTTGGGAAGATRTACCTCTGAGCATGTAATTAGAAGTTTAATTATTGTATGTTACATGCTTTCAACAAATGTTTATAAATTTAACTCAGGCATTGTAAAACAACTGGAAAAAAAAAAGAGAGATTTGATTGTACCAGATCTGTGGGTTTTTTGTAGATATGCACAATGGAGCATGAGCATGCAGTGAAAGAGAATGGGTATGAAGCTCGACTCAAGGAGATGGAGGACACCAGCCTCAAGTCCACTGCTGAGCTCAGACGTCTCTTGGTGGCTCAGCAAAAAGCAACAAACCGRTGGAAAGAAGAAACAAAAAATCTCACTGAAACTGCAGAAGCCAGGATCAATAAGCTGAAGTAAGTGCAGTTTTGTTCCCCTTCTGCAAAGTGTTTCAGATACTGTTTGGGTGAAAAACCATCCACACTCAAAGATGAGCTTGCAGCAGAGGAAAGAAATATCTAAACAGAACTTTTGATGTTCTCCGTGAAGTTAGCACTGAAGTAAAAATTTCACTGTCATTGTCTTGTTGATAACATGTGAGTTTTTGTAATGCCAGAAAGTAAATGGTAAATGGAATATATTACTTTCGATTTTCAAGATACAGCACACTCAATTTAGAGAATTTTAGCTTTGGATTATGAAAACTTCTATATCTCTTCAGAAAAGCCCTAATATGAGTTGTGGAGTGATTCTATAGACTTCTAAAATAAATTAGACCAAAACCTCTTGAAATGTATATCTAACCTTCTCTTCTGAGTAGTTGCTGTCATGAATGAAGATACCAGTGGGTTGTGTGATTGTYCTAAGAAAAACTTGGGTATAAATTTTACTTTTGTCCTAATYMATCCATATTTCTAGGCTGGTACTTSTATTTGCAGCACAGAATATAAGAATATTTGAGGTTTGCAAGTTTCTCCCATGCTTTATTTAATTTCTAGGCTTAGGTAATTTTGTTAGTCTGATCAAGTAGATTATTAATTTGAGATTAAATTAAGCCTGGTGTTTTCATACAACTGCAGAGAAGTTTAAGTCCTCAAGATCTCTTTCTCTTCAGAATTGGTTGAAAATTGACACACTGGTACACAGTAACTGCTAAACCAGGAAGCCTAACTTCATAAGTGTCATTTTTTTAAAAATTAAAGTGGTTAGAAAGGAATATAACATTGCATTATCTTTCAGTAGGTTTGAGAGCAAAAATTCAGGGTGTGCAGCTCTGTTAARTAGATACATTTGWAGCAATTTACTTTGCTAAGGTAAAYTTTAGCTCTGAAATTTGGAGTTTATTTTCTGTAAATCAAAATACAAAAGCTCACAGCTGAGCATCTAGGTTCATCACTAGATCCTGGATGTACTTCAGCAAGTTCCAATTAAAAGAAAAAAATTGCAGACTTCCAAAATAATTAAAGTTGTCTGTGAAAGAGCTGTTTTCCCTCTAAAACCTTTCATGTTCAGTGTTAAAATGTTGTTACAGCAGACCAAAAGATTTAGACCTTATTTATCTGCAGCAAAATGCTGACATAGAAAATGCAAGGAAGTCTGCTTTGTGAGCCTGGATGAAAAATGGGTAGTAAATTTTGAAAATGTCCCTATTTATGTGACTTCAGTAGATATTTTGGTGCAAGTCTAAAAGCTAAGTCAGTTACTTTATGATAYGATTTGGTATTTTATGCTTTTTCATACAGTATAAGCCAGAAATAGAAGCCTTTATCAGGCATCTGCTCTACCTGGCAAGGAAGCTGGCAAYAGAAACAGGAAGGTTTCATTTAGACTGACATCAGGAGTTTCATATTAAATCTGCAGTGATGCTCTGATATTATGGTTACAAGTAGACTAATGGAATCTTATCACTATTATCTGGAAATATTAAAATGAGCTTATTTTTCACATTTTATGCATTGCCGGATATCCAGCAATGTAGTGCAGAATGCAGTTGATATGAAAATTAACTCCTGAAGTAGTTATTCAACACAAAAGTCCTTGCTTTTATTATAAATGAATAATTATCATATTTATTTTCATCTATCACAATAACATTTTGAGTGCAAGCACAGAATAGCAAATCACTTCTTAGTGTGTTGTGAACTAAAATCAAGTTGCTGATTACTTAAAAAGCAGAATAATTTTGCARCAAATGCATTTATCAGGGAAATTTCAGTAAGAACACAAAATAACAGACTGATAATGACGATAGATTAATTAATGTATTATTAATTAAAGGCTCTGTTCAAAAAGTCTGTCGAGGCTAATGCAGGAAATGTTCTCACCAAGCCTCATGGTGGGGTCCAAGAGAAAGGAGGRTTCATGTAAATCTGTGAGCAAATCCAGAGGTTGTGTTGGTGACATGTAGCAGAATTTATTTTTTTTAAATACAGTTTTTAACAAGAATCATTACTCTTGCACCCTATTAATGTGTTTTATAACTGAGTGTCTTTTTAGGAAGTTATGAACTTCCTAASCAAGTGCTATCCATGTGTATGGGGGAGGTGGTTTACATGAAACATTTTAGATTGCATTTCCCCAGGAGGTTTCTGTTAGTGCAGCTCTCATAAACACTGACTCAYTGTCCCATTTGTTAGTGTAGGTGTTTCCCATTCCTTTGCCTTAAAGTTCATGGTGGCTTTCCAGTTCTGTCCTCATTGCTTTCATTTCCCATGTGAAGGTGTCTGAAGCATTTTGGCTGCTTTATTAAACTCACCAGCAGCAGCTGCTAACTTTTCCACATTCTGTGCTGCTCATTTGCCATGTTCTAAGTCTGCAGTGTTTTGTTGGTGAGGTGTAATCCACATGCATGAAGGAAGCATTAAATAATTCTAAGGAGTGAATTTTAGCAGATTTTTGATCTTTAAAAAAAAAATAGGAAGTAAATTTTGCAGCCTGTAATGGTAATGTAAAAGACGTAAGAATCTAGTAGGTCAGTGAAAAACCTGTAGGTAGAAATGATGATAAGTAAATTGATACTTCCAGGCTTCATTGAAAATTATTCTGCACTTTTCTGGACCTTTGGATCTCATTCAAGTTAAACACATAACTGTTGCTGATGAAACTGAACTTGAAATTCAGTGCTGAAACAGGARGAAATGCACTGAATACTTGCAGACTAAATTACAGCAATTTCTTCATACAAATGTGTTACAGTCTGCATTTATGAGAAAAGCTTTCTTCCCTCTGAGCATCTTAAGGAGAATTTRTTGGTAACAGACCCCACCTTCACCTTGCAGAAGAGCAAAGAGCCAATTTTGCTTCACTATCCTTGTGCCAGTCAACCCTGAAGGTAACTAAGAAGGTCAGTGCTGCTTGTGAMATGGGTCATCATTCCAAATAAAAACTTTGCTCTTGGCAGCGTGGCTAAAATCTCACTGCTGAGYTTATTCTCTTTATTCCTCCAGAGTATCCAGTCTGGCAGAGTCAGCAACCAAAATGTTCTGACCTCTGATTGCATCCATTGTAAATGTACCCAGAGTTCTAATGATATGTACTSRAGTGAACTTAGACAGCAAATGTTTRCACTARTARGATAGTRTCAAATTACTTTTTTTACAACTTTTAACAGTGATCACTCATCTTTCATATTCCTTWAAGGAATTTAATTGGAAAACAGAAGTACAGAAATTTTATAAAGCTATCAAACTTGCTTGAAAATGTAGTTTCTTTCATAAAACTAAAAGAGCTTTTAAGTCTTGGTGAATAATTGAAGTATTTTATGTTCATTAGTTTAACTGATACTTGAGTTACTATTTGATTTTTCCCCCTCCCCTCTGTATATCTGAAATGTTGTCCAAGTTATCTAAATAACCAAATCAGAATTAGACTTAAAAGTTATTTTTGATCTTCAGTGTCACTTCTCCACGCATGGCTGTAGAAGTGGATAAGAAATGGAAGCAATCCATGTTGCTGTTGTTGCTGATTTGGAGGATGTAGAGCTTCCAATTGTAAGGACTTCAGCTGAGAAGAAGAAATAGCAGCAGACAGAAAGTGGAATCAGCAATACCAAAAGAATGTTTAGGAAATTTATAAATTGGAAGGAAACAAACAGAACAGTAACAACAGAACAGAGGGTAGAACAAGAAGGGGTGAGAGAGACAATTCTGACAACAGAATTCAGGCAAAACCAGGGTAACTCAATCTGCCAGCATTTGCTCAAAGAAAAAGGAAGTGTGAGTCTGTATGCAAGTTTTAAAAATAAGGGTAGATGATTCATTTGTCCTGTAGAGTCCACCTTTACAGGTCTGTAGATGAAAGCACAAATACAACAGATGGTTAATCCCATCCCACTGGCCTATCAGTATTTTTTGTACATTTTTATGTCCTTATCCTGAGAGTGAAGATAAGAGTTGGGGTAAATAGAGAATTTTGCAGGTAAGCAGATAAACCCTTACCAGACCCTGCACCAGTGGCCAACGCCAGGAGCTTATTTTTGTTGAGCAGGAATCAGAATAAGATTCACATGAATAAGCCAAGTTTTATATTGAATGAAATTACTGAATTATCACAGAATGTCCTTCAATGGACTAGATCTGCACAACTGCAGGCAGGGAGAAAGGTAGATCCTCCAACCTGAAAACCTGACAGGAAATTGGCAGTTCCCTCAACTTTGCCATGGATATTGCTTTGGCCTGTCAGACATGGGGATGATTGCTTAGTTAAGGCAGAGTTTAGCTTGAATAGGGGTTGAAATAGTTATACACAGGTCTGTTCTGCTACTAAATAGTACATGAAACTATTTATAAACATTGGCTTTAATGATAAAGAGGTTAAGTTTGCTTCCCACATAAACATTGCATTTGAGGAGCTTTAAAAATCTGAACTCTTTAATTACAAAAGTAATAAAATGCAATAATAATACAYAGTATGAACAAACTAATAAATTAATAATCCTATTCATCTGCCATTATTGTCAAGTAGCAAGATACAACTTTTTTGAGGGGGAAATAAAATATACTTGTATTTATTTGAATAACTGTACTCAATGGCTTCATTTTCTTAATAGACACTTGCATTATAATGTCATTATTTAAAAAAAGGGAATCCTTGCTATATTGTTTTTAAATGTAAAGACTTTGCTTAGCTCAAGCCATCTGATTGCAGCTATTTTGGGTGTCTTTGTTCCTGTTTCTRCCTCTGACACATTTCTTTGTCACAGTTAGTCCCTGACTCATCTGTAGGCATGTGTGGGGTTTGGAGTTCCCAGTTTTTATCTTTTCTGTGATTGAGAAGAATCTGCCTCTGAGGAATGACCTTCTTTGGTGGCAGTATATGAAGTGTTGACCATGACTGCTTTCTCCTTTCCCCTGCATCCTGTGCAGTACATGGAGTGAATTGTGTGGCATCCTGAGATGAAGARGTTGCCTCTTTTTCTAAAACATTATTCTTGGCTGCACTTGTGTGATGTTTGGCAGCCATAGCTGCTTATTTTAAGATGTTCATTAAAGGAAAAAAAAAYTACCAGGATGAGACAGCTGCAGGTACTGGCAGTATACAAAATTCATAATTACTAAGAGTAACTGAAGCATATTACAGTATAACTCAAGCAAAAAAAACAGCTGGCACATGCTATATTTGTCATGAGAGCTTTGCAGAAAGCACTTGCTGCAGCTGGTGGATTTATCACCCGTCTGCTGAAATGCTGGGAGCTCACCTTTTGTTTCCTACTSACTTAGCAAAGACAATGTGCAGTGGGGGCTGATTTAATTATCCAGCAGTTGGGGTTATTGCTCAGTTCTAATATTGAGATCTCWGAAGGTGTGTTTGGGGGAGGGCAAACACTCAGAATGAATCAACTGTCTAGCTCAATGGCCATCACATTTCCTTATGCTTACAAGGTTAAACTGTTTCCTTTTAAATATGTGTTCAGTGTGATCTCATTATGAAAATAATTTCTTGATCACAGCTGTATATGAGCCTGTAAACTCTGTCTGTRGTCTGTGTTGCTAAGCATGCTAATTCCACACCTCAGTGCAAGCACAGGAGATGGGCTCTTTTCAGTAACTAAGAATTTTTAGAGACYTAAAAATTGATCTCCTGTATTGAAAATGCCTCATCTTGATGCTTGATACTGAYTACAGAGGACAAATTACAAAAATAGTGTTACATACTGTCTGGAGCCTGCAGTCTTGAGCCATCTTTAATTCTTCCTTTATATGAAGTGATCACATGTGGTAACAGTTGCAATCCACATGTAATTCTAGCTGTTTCACATCATTTAAATATCTGCCTATGTGCTTTCATTTTTATGAAAGTTCAGTTGTTGAACTGTTTGTGTGATACCTACCTGAAATACAATTTGCAGCCTCGTATTTCAAGCACCATATTTCGGTGTTCAAACTTTTATGCAACATTAGGCTTCAGAGTTTATAGAAGCAAATTATTGCTGAGAACTAAGTGTCATCATTAAAATAGAGGGTTTTTTTTAATATGAAGATCAGGGGCTGGAGGATCTCCTACCTTACCTCCATTCCCTCAAACAGAATAAATGCTTTAGCTTGCATTGCAGAGCACATAGCTTCAGCAGTAAGTAGAGTATTTAATGTGAGGTGTTGGAGTAGAGATTGGTCAGAGGTTTAGGGCAGCTCACTTAGGTTTGCATCTTTCCCTGGCTRAAATGTACTGGAGTTGTGTCTTGARCCATCCCTCTCCTTGCATGAGAGGAGACCAGAAATTTCCTTTCAGCACCAGCTCAAAGATTGTCTGCCACAACCCAGATGTTTTTTTGTCTTCAATACTGTGTAAATTAAGGATCACTAAAACTCATTCAGTATAAAAGACTGCTTTGAAGTAGGTGGTTATTTTCCTTTTCCTCACCAAGTGTCACATTGTTGTCTGTCTCACAAGTATAGAATGATTTTTTTTAGGTACTTCAAAGCACCTTTTTAAATGCCTGCATCGAGGTCTGGTTATGGAACACTAATTAGGATGTTAATCTCAATATTGAACTTGCTGTGCAAAACRCAGCTTATATTTATTACATACTGGATAGCGTGCTTCCAAAATAAGATTCAATAAACAGAAAAAAAACAAACCTGTAAAATGTCAAGTGCTCTTGACAAAGTCTTGCTGATTCCAACAAATACATCTTGTTCCTCTGCCATTACAGTTTTGAATGCACAGCATGAAGAAGTGCTGCGTGGTGCTTTTRAAATCGGCGTTTTAAGAATAACCCTGTAATTAAAATCCACCGTAAGCCTCCACAATTCACGGAACTATCTCTGAAATTATGTTCCAATAACTGAAGTGCTACTGTTTGCTAATCAGCATCTTTTCTTCTGATTCCCAGAAGTGAGCTGCGTCAACAAAAACTCCGTAGCCAGGAGCTCATTTCCCAGCTGGAAACRGCAAATGGGAAGGTAACTGAGGTAAGATAATGACTGATGTGACAGCTACTCTCAGTTATAAGCTGATGTGCATACACTAAGATCTTTGCAGAAACCTATTTAGGTGAGTTATGTTGCTGGTTTAGAGAAAATTAAGGATTTTTGACAGGGGTAGTCAGTAATAATTGGGAAGCCTCACAGTTTCTTGCTGACTGACGTGTTMCAGTGGCAGGAAGACAAATGAACTTTACTCTCAAATTACAAAAGTGAAAGGAGAAATTATCTTTCTAGGTGACTAATCCAGCAATTCTGGATAAATTCAGGAAATGTTGCTGAACTTACTTCTGCCTGTGCATGCATTCAAGCCTCTAAACAGGAGCAGGCACTGGCTTTATGGATAATGYGGGATACACAGAGACACCAAGTTCTCCACATGCAGAATTTACATTCTGTGTCCAKATATGCATATGGCTAAAAGCATTATCCATTAAAGATTAAGGGCAGGGTTGTTGTGGAATGTGCATTGTTCAATAATTAATGGCCACTTTAAAAAAGGRCTTTCCTGTCAGCCTTATAAATCTGGGATAACATCCAGCTCTGTCCAGGATAAGTCTTTCTGTCTTGTTTTTCTGTTGTGCTGTGTTATTTAGAGGAGAAAAATGGGGCTGATGCAAAAACAGATTTCTGTGAGGTTGGTTAAGAAAAGCTTTTTACAGACCCTTTGAAGGGAACAGAGGAGATCTGTAGCAGGTTTAACATCCCATTTGTATTATCCAATATATTCCTCTTGCTTTTGAGTATAGCTAAAACATTTACATTGTCAAGTTGAATGGATTAAAGAACCTGAATTAAAATGCCATTTTTTATGCATCTTGATGGCRAAATGAGTAGAACTTCCCCTGCAGATTACTCTGAGTGATTGGAGAAGTTCACATGATGTCACATTTGAATGGAAGTTCTCTATAATGTGTCAGCAGTTTGTCTTCAGGGTTTTGTAGTAAAGGAAAAACAGTTCCATTTCTGATGTTCCTCCTCTGTAAAGCTTTTCATGCTCCAGAATGTRTGGATTCACTAAAATAATTTGGCATGGAGTTGAGAAATTTTGTTTCCACAGGATGAGACCTTAATAACAGAATATCGGGAATACATCGACAGGCTCCAGAAGCGACTGAGCCAGGCAGAACAGAGAGCAGCCACAGCCTTACAACAGGTACACAGCTCACAAAAAAACATTATCCAAGTGTGTGGAATATGTAAAAGTACTCMTTTTCCATCAGTCCTGAGGCAGAGGTGATCATCTCTGAGCATTATTAGCGACAATTGTAACAAGCGGGGATTTTGGTCGTGTCACCTTCTGGCAGGATGCTTGTGTGAGAGTGTAGGTTTGATGTGAATTAAACCTGTGTGATTCAAAAGGTGT